TCCCTGGGGGGTGATTTCTCGCTTTCTGTCTCTCTGTCTCTCTCTGTCTGTCTGGTGAGCGCACGCGCTCTATAGCAAAAACCTCTCCAAAAAAAAAAAATTTTTTTTAAATGAGTATTTATCCTTCTGCAAAATACTTTGACACGTATTTTACACACACACACGCCTAGAACAGCCTCTTTATTATTGGTCCTGTACTATTGGATTAACTGCACCTTTCATAAAACTATCTCTCTCTCTCTTTTTTTTTTTTTGCTATAGGGTACGTGCGCTTGCTAGACAAAGAGCCAGAAAGGGAGAAATCACCCCCCCAGGGGGGATGGCCACACCACAATCCCTTCTCCTCCATTGTTCTCTTATGATCTTGGGCACGCACGCACATGTGCCCGGCATGAGTTTAAGCCACCAGGTCCGGGACTCGAACCGTGGTCAACTACATGGGAGTCCAGCAACATAGCCATGATGCTAACTGCTGATCCCTATCTCTAATTTTTTACGTTAAGTGTGGAGTTTATTTTATTAGGTCACTGGAAAAGTCGTGACATTTTTTCCTATGCAAAAATGCATCATGACTTTTCCAAAGACCCAGTACTTTATTTTACTTACTTATTTATTTTTGTCATAGGGAGTGTTCACTTGCCTGAGACAGAGAGGGAAAGTGAGAAATCAACCCCAGGGGGATGGCCACCCACAATCCTTTCTCCTCTGTTTTCTCAGGATTTTTGGCACACACGCACATGTGCCTGATAGGATTTTCAAGTCTCTAGTTCTGGGATTCAAACCATGGTTGGTCATGTGGGAATGCACTGCACTATGATCACCACACAACCTGCTGGCCCAAATTTCACTTTTTTAAAAAAAAGAATTATTTCATTTAACTTTATTTATTTATTTTAATTTGACCAGAGAAAGAGAGAGAGAAAGAGAGAAAGCAAGCCTCTAGGTCCGGGACTTGAATTGCAGGTGGCCATGTGGGAGTCCAGAGCCCTTGCCACCTGCCAGCCCTCTGAGTTTCATTTCTTTAAGATTAAAATTTCCAACCATTTATCAGAACACCAAAAAACTACTTTAATTAGAGTACAATAACAAAACAAATGCCTAGATTAAAAGTTATCTTTGTTGTATATGAAGTTTAGTTCTTAGTATGAAAAACGAAAGGAACTCCAACTAGGGCGTGGGGTAGCAGATTAAAGATTAGCCTGAGAAGCTGAAGGAATCAAAGAATGCTGAGGGTGGGGCCGGCAGGTGGCGTGGCAGTTGAGGGCACTGGACTCCCGCATGGCTGACTGCGGTTCGAGTCCTGGACCTGGCAGCTTGCTTTCTCACTCCCCCCGCCGCCTACCCCCCCCACCGCTTCACTCTGTCCCTCTCTGGTCAAACTTAAATAAATAAATAGGGTAAAATAAAAAATAATTATAAAAAAATTAGAAGAATAATGATAACACATAAAAAGTTAAATAATTTTTTAAAAAATGCTGAGGAGCATGAGTGGTATATTTAGGAAAGACCACTCAGCTCCAGCTAGAGGTGAGATAATGCCGAAGGGGCAGAAACAGGCCAGCTCGTGACCAGCAGGTGGCATGGCTGTTCACGGTTTGAGTCCTGGACACGATGGCTTGCTTTTTCACTTTCTCTGTCTCTCTCCGGTGAGCACACGTGCCCTGTGTGAGTCCACCACCCTCCAGCGAGGGAGCTGTAGATCACACTTCTCCATCTCACAAAGCTGGACTCCCATGAACACACCAGCTGGCTGAGGCACAGATGTTGTACAGACGACGACGACAGCAGCCACTGTGGAGTGGCAGGGGGTGGGGGGGGCGGGGCC